TAAGTAATTTATAATTCATAAGACAATCAACTAATTATATAATTTATAAATTTTAATTTTATTATATTTTTAATATTTTTAATATCTAATACCGGCAATTTCACAACATGATTGAATAAATATCATCATATAATCAAAACCAAGTGGTTACTATTCGACATATTGATAATATTAATAATTTTTTGAGTAGTACTAGGTATTTAGTAGTGTACAGAGCAGTTAAATTAACAATAACTCTATTATATTGATATAGCAATCAGGTTTTTTTAATGATATAAGGACAAGGTGTGTTTTGGGTTACATGTCTAACAATTATACGTTGAAATCTGATTACTATAATTACGTAACTATTCAACATACTTGACTGCTGTTTTATGAGAAATCTCTGATCTATTATACTGGGTTGGGTCTCTGTGGCATGTCCGTATTTAATAATCTTTACGTACTTTGCAACTTGTTCTTCTGCTGATGACAAAATATCCTTTAATTTTTTATATATTGAACAGTTTTCTTCCTTTGACCAAAACATCATAGTTCTCTTCAAGAGCTTACTTTTGTTTTCATTTTCAATGATTTTGTCTAATTTGATTAGATCTTTGATAGATGGTAATATTTTCTAATTGTTTTTCTCCCCTTTCATTAAATTTGAGATTTTTACATATTTTAACTCGATTATTGAATTCCTCTCATCTCCAAAAAAAATATCAACAAATCCACATCTGCCTTTGCCTTTGGGCTTAGTGTTGTCCATTGCTAAGCATAATTCAGAGATACAATTCTTGAGTAGTAAAAGTTCTGTAATAGCCTGGAGCATTGCTTCACTTGCAATTGATAGTGAGAAAACTGACCTTGATTTTAAAAAAGAGATTAGATTTTCTTTTAATACAAAAACATCATTAGTAGATTCTTTAAGAGTTTGAATAAGATTTTGTATCCTTTTTTCGTTTTCCTTCTCTTTACTCGAATCTGTGGAATTTTGCCTTTTTCTTTTATTGGCTTCTTCTTCTTCACTCGAATCCTCGTGGTTTTGCTTCCTTTTTTTACCTTTTATCTTTTTTTCTTTGGCAATTCTGTTTACTTTATTATGGGAACAGACTTTCATTCCTACATCGGCATTTGAAGAAATCTAAAATCTATAAGTATTCTAACCAAAGAGTAAACTCACCCCGGCGTACCTTGCAGATGCCGAAACATCTACTTGTAGTCAGGGCGAACCATTAAACCGCTGTGTTTTGCCCAGATGCGACCTGCCTAGCAACATTTGGCCTCCTTCAGAGATCCAGAACTCACTCTGGACTTATTTCCCCCAAATTCACCGGCTGTCTGTTGTTCGCCCCGTCAAGATTCCTGCTCTACAATAGAATGCCGCCAAACTGATGACACTTTCTCATAGAGAAGGAAAAAAGAAAA